CCTACTCCCCTCTCCACCACTTCTGCGAACAATATGTCCACTCCCCTTCGGCCTTTGCAACCTCCTCTGTCAGATAAAAATTCTGTAAACACTCGCGATATGCTTTTGCAGAGGTCTTTTTAGTTATTACATCCTCCCACAGCTTTTTTGACTCAGTGACTTTAAGGGAGCGGATTAGATAGAGGGACAGAAGAGAGAGAAACCTTCACACGGATTTGGCTCCCTCCATGCCCCCGGCCCAGACCGGGGCCCGGGGATCCAGCCCCGCAACTGAGGGAGGTGCCCTTGACCAGAATCCAACCCGGGCCCTTCAGTCCCCCAGGCGGTGCTCTAACCACTGGGCAACCGGCCAGGGCAGCCCCCAGAGAGTTTCAGGTGATCTGGGAACATGAAACTAGGTAAGTGGCACCGCCAGGGGGCGTTGGTGATGGACTGCTGCTATGTTGGGAAACAGGATTTTTGGGGACATCTCTTGTGATAAACCTCTGGCAAAAAGGTATATTTAATTTGAAAAATTGTAACTAGTGGATAAAAGAGGTAGGCGGTTGCAGTCTCTTTAGTCGAGCTGTGGTTCATGTGAGAGATGGTTCATGTAAGATGACTATGAGAACACTTGTTTGTAAACTAGCTGACTAAAGCTTATTTTGTGTGTCTGCTATTTTTGCAGATGATTACATTTTATTTTGAAAGATGTTTCCAGGAAATAGGATGCATTTATTTTTACTGATCCATTTTGCCTTTATCGTTTGATTTTTTTTAAAAAAAACCCCACCACATTTTGTTTTAATGTTAGCGGTCACAGAAGTAAATAGCACTTTCCGGAGGACTATTCCATGCAACTGTTATACTGTAATATTAGCTGTTTTATAAAGAATAAAGAGGGGTTTGGTAAGAACAGCATGGGAGTAACAGTAATCCCAAAAAATGTTACATCTCACTTCCCTATTTTCCCCGTTAAAAAGTATTACATTCATTCGCACTGTTATTTATATTAGAGTATATAAATTATATAACAAGTTGCTTTAAATTTTTCTGCTGACTTTTATAAGACTTAACTATAATTTTATAAAACTACACATTAAAATATAAACCAAGCTTTCAGAATTTTTGCTTAACTGAGTGGTCGAGTGGCTAATGCCAATTCCGAATGATACTTAGTTGTTCCTTTCATTCTTTTCCAGGAACTATCAATAGAGCAAGCATGCTAATATTGAATAAGGCAGCAGGAGTTTTTTCTAAACCAGCAAAAAGGAAAATTTATGAGTATTTAAGAAGTTCCAATTTTCATCCTGGGAAAGTATTTCTGCACAAAGTCGTGTTGGGAATTGAGACCAGTTGTGACGATACGGCAGCTGCTGTGGTGGATGAAGCTGGGAATGTTTTGGGAGAAGCGATACATTCCCAGACTGAAGTTCACTTAAAGTAAGTAGACACTATCTTGGTAGATGTCCACTTTTTTTGGAAAGTGTAAAATGAAATAGTTCTTTTCTGTTTATCTTGTATAAGAGTTAAATTCCAGGAGCTAATTGCTTCTCTTGTACAAAAGCTTCTAAGAACTGTTCTTGTTAACCTTCCGCCCTCAGCCTGGCCCTTAAGGCTCTCCACAGTAAGGCTCGGCGGACCCAGCTAATCCCATTGCCAAAAAGACACTGAGCTTGTTCCCAGCTCCAACGTTTATCCATGATTTCCCCTCTTTTGTTCACCTGTAAGTTTCATGTTCTCCACTGAAGGCCTAGGAGAGCCTGGCTTGACTTCCGGCCTGTGTGAATCACTGGAAAGAACAAATCCTATTCCTGTTTCTAGACACAACTCATGTTGGCACAATAATAACAACATGCTGTTGTGTTAAAGCACGGCAGGTGCAAGGTCTGTAAACCCGGGTGTCCCCCCCAGGCAGGGTACAGAAATGAAGGGGCTGGAGAGAAAGTGGAACATACCTGCAGGGAGTCACTACTCAGTGATTGCCATGCGGGACTATCGACCCTGTGCTGCTGGATCAGACGCCTCGAGAGAAACGTGACTGTAATATCTCCAGGTTTTTAAAATTAGTAGCTAACTCAAAATGTGTTGAAATCTGTACAGATCAAAAACACCTTGAAGTCACTAATTTAACAACATCTGAGTAGTGAAAAAGGTTGATACTTTGAGATCACAGACCTGTATTTGAATCATGAATTAGGCATTTGGTATTGGCTGACTTTAGGCACGTTCTTTATCCTCTTTTTTCACACCATAAAGGGGGAAAGATAACTGCCTTATAGGATTGGGGGAAGTTTAATAGGAATAATATAGAAGGCTAGAGGCCTGGTGCACAAAATTCGTGCATGGGGGTGGGGGTGTCCCTCACCCAGCCTGTACCCTCTCCAATCTGGGACCCCTCAGGGGATGTCCGACTGCCAGTTTAGTCAGTCAGACATCCCTCTCACAATTCGGGACCGCTGGCTCCTAACCACTCACCTGACTGCCTGGCTGATCGCCACTAACCACTTCTGCCTGCCAGCCTGATTGCCCCCTAACTGCTCCCCTGCTAGCCTGATCGACACCTAACTGCCCTCCCCAACTGGGAATCCACATCTTGTACAGCCTCGGTCTGCAGCAAGAGAAGGCAGCATGTAAAACATACACCAAATATGTGTTAATTAACTGCCCATGTTATCAGCAAGGCAGCCAGTCAACAGTAGGCCCTTAGTAGTAAAGTGTTGGAGAAGTCAAAGTTATCCATGGCTTTTCTACGGCACGGGGGTTGGCACCCCTGAGCCCTGCATTATTCAAGGGCCGACTGTATTAAATAGTCATTGCACGCTCCTACTGAGGATTTTTATTTTTTTTATTTTTATTGCTTTCAGAGAGGACAGGAGAGGGAGACAGAGATGGAAACATCAATAATGAGAGAGAATCATTGATTGGCTGCCTCCTGCACGCCCCCTACTGGGGATCAAGCCCGCAACCCTGGCATGTGCCCTTGACCGGAATCGAACCCAGGACCCTTCAGTCTGCAGGCTGACACTCTATCCACTGAGCCAAACCGGCCAGGGCAGGGTTTTTATTTCTGTTTATATACCCAGCAGATCTTCAACATCACATATTTAAAGGTGCTGTGTTCTTTCTGAGATTTGGGGTGCGTGTTGCTGATCTCGTATTCGATGGCTGTGCTTCTCTGCCACATGCTGGCACGTGTTTTGCTGGCAACTTCACCTCCTACTTCTTTACTCTTGGCATTCGGAGTGCTCATCCACTGCTTGTCCCACATGGACCCAAAATCAAAACTCCCAACTTCATTTCAGATTTCAGGCTGTCGACTGTCCTGCCGTGGCTGCCAGTGCAGAGGGTCTAAAAATAAACCCATCTCCTTCACTAAACTGGCTTCATGTTTCCGTCAGTCTTTCTCTTCTCCCCGTCATTCCAGCTCCCGGTCTGACTCACCTCCGATGCCTTGGCCTCCCTCCCCTGAGGCCCACGTAGTGATTACAGTGGCCCAGGCCTCTGTCCCTTTCTCTCCATCCCCACGCTCACCCAGTTTAAGATGTAATCGCCTTACCCTTCTGCGGTAACTGTAAGCATCTTCTAAAATCTTCCTGCCTGCAGAGAGAGCTGTTTTTCCAAAGTCCACTTTCATCTTGTCCTTCCCTTACCCGAGCGTTCTTCCTCAGCGTGCTTCTCGCGATGATTTTGGCGATTTCCTTCAGCGACAAACAAATTTTGTGCAGGTACCATACCCCAAATCACTGCAATTTGGGTTCCAGCGGCTGCATCGTAAGACACGTTTGAAAATACGTGACTGACATTGTGAGCTCTCTAATGATTGATTTGAAAACATGCCTTCAGCTCCCATATACAATTTTTCTTCCCCCGTTTTTACAATCTTAAAAATTACAAAAAGCTTTTTTGAAAACCTCTTTCAGAAACCGGCGGGATCATTCCGCCAGTAGCTCAGCAGCTTCACAGAGAAAACATCCAGCGGATAGTGCAAGAAGCCCTCTCTGCCAGTCGAGTCCCTCCGAGCGAACTCTCCGCCGTGGCCACCACCACCATGCCCGGCCTGGCCCTGAGCCTGGGCGTGGGCCTGTCCTTCAGCCTGCAGCTGGTGGGCCAGCTGAGGAAGCCCTTCATTCCCATCCACCACATGGAAGCTCACGCGCTCACCATCAGGCTGACAAACGAAGTGGAGTTTCCCTTTCTCGTTCTCTTGATTTCTGGAGGCCACTGTCTGTTGGCCTTGGTCAGAGGCGTCGCGGATTTCCTGCTTCTCGGGAAGTCTCTGGACATAGCGCCGGGAGACATGCTTGACAAGGTAACTCACATTAATCTCTACCTTATTTTTTGTCAAGGTGTCCGTTTCAGTTGAGGAGTGATGGCTGCTCTAGTACCATCCATCCAAATATTTCTGAATGATGTCCCATTAGACCGAAAAAATATGTGTGGGGTAAGACAAACAGAAAAAGTAGTGCCTAGTTTACAAAAGACTCTTTCTGCCCCATTTCAAATAAAATGTAGGAGGTTTACAGCAGCCCATAAAGGCTCACATAGTTCGCAAATGCAGTTGTTTTTTTATTTTTTTAATTCTTTATTGCTTAAAGTATTACATATAGTATTATATATGTCTCCTTTTACCCCATTGACCTCTCCCCGGCCACCCCCATCCCCCAGCACATGCCCTCACCCTCCTAGTGTCTGTGTCCATTGGTTATGCTTATGTGCATGCAGACAAGTCCTGTGGTTGGTCTCTTACCCCCTCCACCCCTCCTCCCGCCTTCCCTCTGAAGTTGGATGGTCTTTTCGATGCTTCTATGTCTCTGGATCTATTTTAGTTCATCAGTTTAAATGGGGAGGCAGTGCCGGCCGCTGTCGGTCGGGTTGTCAGAAAGGCAGGCCTGGCTGTCTCCCTGACCAGCTGTCGCCCGTGTTTGTAAAGGCAGAGCATGTCTTATTCGTCCGGGTTTGGTGTGTTTTTCATTTGGTGTGTTGTCCATTATATTCCACAAATGAGTGAGATCATGTGATATTTATCTTTCTCCAACTGGCTTATTTCACTTAGCATAATGCTCTCCAGGTCCATCCATGCTGTTGCAAATGGTAAGAGTTCTTTCTTTGTTACAGCAGCATAGTATTCCATCGTGTAGATGTACCACAGTTTTCTAATCCATTCATCTACTGATGGGCACTTATTTTTCCTTCACTGGACTTCAACACGCTGTCGATAAGATAATAACACAAAAAGAAAAAGAGGAAGGTATATTTCTAATAAGTAAAGGTGGACAGCCCTAGCAGGTTTGGCCCGGTGGATAGAGCGTTGGCCTGGGGACCGAAGGTCCTGGGTTCGATTCCCGTCAAGGGCATGTACCTCGGTTGCAGGGGCCCAGGCCCTGGTCAGGGCTCATGTGGGTGGCAACCAATGGCTGTGCGTCGATGTTTCTCTCTGTCTCTCCCTCTCCCTCTCACTCTCTCTGAAAATCAATGGAAAAATATCCTCGGGTGAGGGTTAACAAAAAAAAAGTAACCAAAGATGGACAGGGGAGTAATCCCAGACTGTGCTCTGTCTGCAGGCGTGGAGCAGGGCAGGGTCCTGCCTTCTGCTGGCGAACATCGCGGCCCGCCGTGCAGCACACCACCGCCTGCCACCTCGCCAGCGCACCGCACCGCGCCCTGCTTGTTCTGCCAGCAGCGAAGCCTGCTGCCACCGAGCAACGCCGCCCTGGTGAGCCCCCCTCCCTGGTAGGCCCCTCGCCTGGGGAGCCCCCTGCCCTTGTGAGACCCCTCGCCCTGG